TATTGAGGAAACGTATGGACTGATGAAGCCACTGTGTGGCGAAACGTTTCCTCAATAAAGATACCCAAGAGTTGCACATGCGTCTAATTTATCAACAAGTCGGTTCTCTGAACCAATCATCTACAAACATCTGGGTATCTTTATTGTAGACGTTTCGCCATCCAGTGGCTTTATCAATACAAATTCTAGGACATAGTTTGAAGACAGTAGGGCTATATGCAGAAAATGAGGTGCTCTTCGCACCTACTCCTAGGTTGAGGGACTGATTACCTCATTTTCTGTATATAGCCCTACTGTCCTCAAACTATGTCCTAGAATTTGTATTGATAAAGCCACTGGATGGCGAAACGTCTACAATAAGGATACCCAGATGTTGCACATGTGTCTTAATTTCAACAAGAAATAAGCTCTGATGTGCAAGTCCCACTCAAATCCAACCCCTCCCACTCATGTACTGATCTACGAAAGAAGGGAACCAGCGTTGGCGTCGGCGGCACTAAATTAAGTTTAAGGAACATGAGACAGACAGACACTGTGTGGAAATAAATGGTATAAAATACCGACACAATGGAAATATAAACACAAATGCAGTATAATGTGATCCTTTTTTGACAACGTTTCACCCACACAGTGGGCTTTTTCAAGTCACAAACAGATCTACCTGGGGTTGGAAGGTACGAGAGTATTTATAGTCATGTTCAGAATGTGGAAAAAGACACTTATGTACAGTTCAGGACATTTATTAAAGGAAACGTTTCGCCACGAGTGGCTTCTTCAGTCCTTCTTCAGTATTAGGACTGAAGAAGCCACTCGTGGCGAAACGTTTCCTTTAATAAATGTCCTGAACTGTACATAAGTGTCTTTTTCCACATTCTGAACATGACTATAAATACTCTCGTACCTTCCAACCCCAGGTAGATCCGTGTGTGACTTGAAAAAGCCCACTGTGTGGGTGAAACGTTGTCAATAAAGGATCACATTATACTGCATTTGTGTTTATATTTCCAGACACTGTGTGCACGTCACAGAGATCACAAAAACAGATATTGATTGGCTGACTCATTACTAACTCCCATGTTATACTGTAATTTTCTCATTAGCCATGTCATTTTAATTATGTTATAATAACTATGAAGTGCTGAGTGATTCACGGGTCTAAGCTCTGGAAACTTGATAATTATACTACTCAATAATAATACTGAGAAGGAAAGGAAGTTTGACTGAATTGTGTACACGCTTGCGCGCGCGCACACATACACACACACACACATAGTGGGCGCCTGTGACAAGCTGGGTCCCACAAGGGTCAGTCCTAGGACCAGTGCTATTTTTGATATATGTGAATGACATGATGGAAGGGATAGACTCTGAAGTGTCCCTGTTCGCAGATAATGTGAAGTTAATGAGAAGGATTAAATCAGATAAGGGTCAGGCAGGACTACAAAGAGACCTGGACAGGCTGGACACGTGATTCACCAACTGGCTTCTCGAATTTAATCCTGCCAAATGCAAAGTCATGAAGATTGGGGAAGAGCAAAGAAGACCGCAGACAGAGTATAGGCTAGGTGGACAAAGACTGCAAACCTCGTCAAGGAGAAAGATCTTCGGGTGACCATAACACCGAGCGTGTCTCCAGAGCCACACATCAACCATATAACTGCTGCAGCATATGGGCGCCTGGCAAACCTGAGAATAGCGTTCCTACACATTAGTAAGGAATCGTTCAAGACACTGTACACTGTGTACGTCAGGCTCATACTGGAGTATGCAGCACCAGTTTGAAACCCACACCTGGTCAAGCACGTCAAGAAATTAGAGAACGTACAAAAGTTTGCAACAAGACTAGTTCCGGAGCTCAGGGGAATGTCCTATGAAGAAACGTTATGGAAATCGGACTGACGACACTGGAGGACAGGAAGGTCAGGGAATACATGATAACAAAATACAAAATACTGCGTGGAATAGACAAGATGAACAGAGACAGGGTGTTCCAGAGAGGGGACACAGAAATAAGAGGTCACAATTGAAAGCTGAAGACTCAGACGAGTCACAGGGTTGTTAGGAAGTATTTCTTCAGTCACAGAGTCGTCAGGAAGTGGAATATCCAGCAAGTGATGTAGTGGAGGCAGGAACCATCCATAGCTTTAAGACGAGGTATGACAAAGCTCATGAAGCAGAGAGAGGACCTAGTAGCGATCAGTGAAGAGGTGGGGCCAGGAGCCGAGTCTCGACCCCTGCAACCACAATTAGGTGAGTACACTCACATGTAGAACAGGCCTAGTGTCTAATCGACATGTGCCTAGGACAAAATGGTAACTAACACACACACTCTCGCTCTTAACCTAAGAACATAAAGAAGGAACACTGCAGCAGGCCTACTGGCCCATGCGAGGCAGGTCCAATTCTCCTACCGGCTTAACCTAGTCAGGTCAGGTCACGTTCACTTAAGGAAGGAGCACGGCATCAGATCTAGTAGCACAAGCTAGTCAGGTCAAACTCACACCCACCAACACCCACTCATGTATTTATCTAACCTATTTTTAAAACTACACAACGTTTTAGCTTCTATAACGGTACTGGAGAGTTTGTTCCACTCATCCACAACTCTGTTACCAAACCAGTGCTCTCCTATATCCTTCCTGAATCTGAATTTTTTTGCTGTACGAAAGAAAAACCAAAGACAGATAGGCTACAGTTTAGGCTGCTATAGGGCCATTGGCCCTATAGTGGCGGTGGTAGCCTGGTTGATTACGGACAGCCTGGTTGATCAGGCCCCGTCGACCCTCGAAGCCTTCTCCAGATATACTCTAGGTATATCAAATCGCAAAAAAAGCTGGGAAACTAAACGATAGAGCCAGAAAAAAATACAGTAAGAAAAAAAGCTGAAAGACAAATTTAAAACAATATAACATCAACGGCCCTTGTTTAAAATTTGAAGCCGATTGGATGAGACATTCTCGAGTTATGAGACATGTGAAAACGAAAGTTGGAGAAAGAAAAGAGAAAAGTAGAGAAGTCCATTCAACTACTTAAAGGTTCCCCTTCGGGAATAATAATAATAAATAATAATTAGCGTAAAATAATTTAATGAACACCAATTATAAAATGGGAAATGTACAATATAATATTAATATTATTGTTACCCATTCTTATTATTGTTACCCATTCTTATTATTGTTACCCATTCTTATTATTGTTACTCATTCTTATTGTTACTCATTCTCAATTATTGTTACCCATTCTTATTATTGTTACTCATTCTTATTATTGTTACCCATTCTTATTATTGTTACCCATTCTTATTATTGTTACTCATTCTTATTGTTACTCATTCTCAATTATTGTTACCCATTCTTATTATTGTTACCCATTCTTATTATTGTTACTCATTCTTATTGTTACTCATTCTCAATTATTGTTACCCATTCTTATTATTGTTACCCATTCTTATTATTGTTACTCATTCTTATTGTTACTCATTCTCAATTATTGTTACCCATTCTTATTATTGTTACCCATTCTTATTATTGTTACTCATTCTTATTGTTACTCATTCTCAATTATTGTTACCCATTCTTATTATTGTTACCCATTCTTATTATTGTTACTCATTCTTATTGTTACTCATTCTCAATTATTGTTACCCATTCTTTTTATTGTTACCCATTCTTATTATTGTTACTCATTCTTATTGTTACTCATTCTCAATTATTGTTACCCATTCTTATTATTGTTACCCATTCTTATTATTGTTACTCATTCTTATTGTTACTCATTCTCAATTATTGTTACCCATTCTTATTATTGTTACCCATTCTTATTATTGTTACTCATTCTTATTGTTACTCATTCTCAATTATTGTTACCCATTCTTTTTATTGTTACCCATTCTTATTATTGTTACTCATTCTTATTGTTACTCATTCTCAATTATTGTTACCCATTCTTTTTATTGTTACCCATTCTTATTGTTACTCATTCTCAATTATTGTTACCCATTCTTATTATTGTTAATCATTCTTATTGTTACTCATTCTCAATTACTGTTACTCATTCTCATAATTATTTCATTAATAATGTTATACTCGTAAGGCATGCAGTAATTTTCGTGTAGAGAAGCAAGGAGATTTGATCCTAGAAAGAGGAGGGCAGCTCTGAATCCACGAATCAAGAGCATTCTCTTCCCTCCCGTCCCCAGTTACCCCTTTTACGAAAACTATTTTCTACTTCCTGTCTAATGTTCTGTCTATATGGAAGTTAAATAATATTGTGTTTCTCTAAAAGAATATGTCTCTTGCAGTACGGGTTCTTGAACTACGTCATCAAACAGTGTACATGACGATAAAATGGTATAAAATACCGACAGGTTGTTTAGGTAAGACACATATGCGACAGTTAGGTATCATTAGGTATCATTGGTACAGACTTGGAACCACTTCAACAACCTCTACTAGTGAGAATGGCTGGATTTGAGAGGGACCTGACCTCTCAATGTCTACATTCTTACTCTACTAGTGACCTACGTCTCACCTCATGGCGCTATATAAGGCTCCATCCTATCACTTCAACTCCATATTATTCCAGACAATGGAACAATACTCTTCTCCAGACTGAGGGACTGACCACCTCAAAACTTTAAGGGTGATGGACTGATTACATCGTCTTCAAGTCTCTTCTGCTTCTATCAACTTTGCTGTGCTCGACTGAAGAAGCCTACTGTGTAGGCGAAACGTTTCGAAATAATGATACCTAACTGTCGCATATGTGTCTTACCTAAACAACAGTGTACATGACCACAGAATACTGTGTTGTTCTAAAAGAATATGTCTCTTGCAGTACGGGTTCGTGAACTACGTCATCAAACAGTGTACATGACCACAGAATATTGTGTTTCTCTAAACGAATATGTCTCTTGCAGTACGGGTTCGTGAACTACGTCATCAAACAGTGTACATGACCACAGAATATTGTGTTTCTCTAAACGAATACGTCTCTTGCAGTACGGGTTCGTGAACTACGCCATCGAGCAGCTGGTGGTACGCAACTTCGGAGACGATATTTGGGAGGATATTAAGTGAGTGTTCTTAGCCTTTAATTAGTTTTATATCCATTCTGATATGCTGCATTAAGCGATCGTTTTTTTTAAGTGATTGTAATCGCTTTTGCTCCTTAATTGGTTACCACAATGATTAAGGAAGAAATTAACGGGAGTCACTTAAGAAGATTAAAACTAATTAACTTTAATGACGCTCATGGTGGGGTTGAAATTGATTATTGTCTACAAGTATAGAGACAAAGACCAGTTCCATTAATTGATAATCAGTGTGATTGAAATTGATTTTTGTGTACAAGTAGAGAGACGAGGCCACAAGGTCCTGTACTCGAACCTATGGAAACATAAACACATATGCAGTTTAATGTGATCCTTTATTGACAACGTTTCACCCACACAGTGGGTTTTTTCAAGTCACACACAGATCTACCTGGGGTGGAAGGTAGATCTGTGTGTGACTTGAAAAAGCCCACTGTGTGGGTGAAACGTTGTCAATAAACGATCACATTAAACTGCATATGTGTTTATGTTTCCATTGTGTCAGTATTTTATACCATTTATTTTCACTCGAACCTATGATAAACTACCCTAAAACCCATAGGCCATAGTGTCGACCAGCGGACTAGACCGGCTTAATATGATGCATCTTACTAGGAATATTTCTATACACCATAGGGAGGTTAGCATGGGCCCCTCACACCAGCATGGCTCTAGTTCTAGTCCCCTCAAAGCCTCCATTATGACTTAGAATCGTAATAACATGACTGCTTTATTGGAACAATGTTTAGCACAGTGTAAAACTTTTCAATAAAAACTTGTTCCACGACAACAAAATTTTGGTTCAGGTAAATAATGAAATAGATTAATTAAAATGATTTTTGTATTTGAGATAAACATAACTTTGAAAATTCTTTACAGACTAATTTCTGGTATATATTTTTTCTGACTTACAATAATTTGTATTCTTCAGATAATTTCGGAATTATTTACAAGCTTAAGTAAATATTGGTCCATCAACTGAAGGTGTAATGGGTGTTCTATCCTCCGTCGTGTAATTCTGGCAATCTCAGTCCAGTCAGCCCATTAGTGACCCCCTAAATTAAAACCCATTATATTCCTTCTCTTAATTGTTTTCGAGAACGAATCAGTTATGGACGATAATAGAAAAATGAGACGATTCATTAGCAACTTTGGTAAGGCCTGAAAAACTTACTTAAGTAAATCGAATATTTTGAGAGACGTTGAGGTCTCTCGGCGTATGTTAAAAATTCTGAGAATACTCAAAAATGCTCAGAGGTGACTTAAAGGAGAGATTTCAGAAGCTTGAAAGAGCTCTTTAGCTCAGAAGAGTTAGGAAGTTTGAGAGAGTTTTAAATCATGGGAGAAATCTGATGCTTGTGAGATTTCTGAAGCATGAGGGGTGAGGGTTGCAGACGTGGTGAAGCCCTGAGGGCTTCCTGGATACCCAATAACCACTGTATAAACCCAATAACCGCTGTATAAACCCGTAGGAGTATACAGCGTATGTGGGGGGGGGGACGGAAGGTATTCAGACTCAATTCAGGGAACTGGAGAACAAATCCAATTCCCTAGATCAAGAGCCCCTCACCAGCATCAAGGAACCTTCCTTGAGGGGATTGAAAATAACTAATAAGAGTTAATAGGGAAACCTATCACCATTATTTTAATGTCAATGGAGTTTATTACCTAAATTGTACGTAAACAATCATCCTTATTTAGCTGTGTAAAAACAAAAGAAGTGGAAGATACAAAAAATATTACTGTGGCTCAGGATCTCGTATTGAGACTACAAGACTACAAGACTACAAGACTACAAGACTACAAGACTACAAGACTACAAGACTACAAGACTACAAGACTATAAGACTACAAGACTATAAGACTACAAGACTAAAGACTATAAAAACTACAAGACTACAAGACTCCCAAGACTACAAGACTACAAGACTATAAGACTACAAGACTATAAGACTACAAGACTACAAGACTACAAGACTACAAGACTATAAGACTACAAGACTACAAGACTACAAGACTACAAGACTACAAGACTACAAGACTATAAGACTACAAGACTATAAGACTACAAGACTACAAGACTACAAGACTACAACATTACAAGACTATAAGACTACAAGACTACAAGACTATAAGACTACAAGACTACAGACTACAAGACTACAAGACTACAAGACTCCCAAGACTACAAGACTACAAGACTACAAAACTACAAGACTACAAGACTACAAAACTACAAGACTACAAGACTATAAGACTACAAGACTACAAGACTATAAGACTACAAGTCTACAAGACTACAAGTCTACAAGACTACAAGTCTACAAGACTACAAGACTACAAGACTACAAGACTACAAGACTCCCAAGATTTACAAAACTATAAGACTCCCAGACACAAGACTACAAGACTACAAGACTACAAGATACAAGACTACAAGACTACAAAAATACAAGACTACAAGACTACAAAACTACAAGACTACAAGACTACAAGATTTACAAGATACAAGACTACAAGACTAAAAAACTACAAAACTACAAGACTACAAGACTACAAAACTAAAAAAACTAAAAGGGACTACAAGACTATAAGACTACAAGACTACAAGACTACAAGACTACAAGACTATAAGACTACAAGACTACAAAACTACAAAACTACAAGACTACAAGACACAAGACTACAAAACTACAAAACTACAAGACTACAAGACTACAAAACTACAAAACTACAAGACTACAAACTACAGACTACAAAGACTACAAGACTACAAAACTACAAAACTACAAGACTACAAGACTACAAAACTACAAAACTACAAGACTACAAGGACTACAAGACTACAAGACTACAAAACTACAAGACTACAAGACTACAAGACTAAGAGACTATAAGACTACAAGACTACAAAACTACAAGACTACAAGACTACAAGACTACAAGACTACAAAACTACAAAACTACAAGGCTACAAGACTACAAAACTACAAAACTACAAGACTACAAGACTACAAGACTACAAGACTACAAGACTACAAAACTACAAAACTACAAGACTACAAGACTACAAGACTATAAGACTACAAGACTACAAAACTACAAGACTACAAGACTACAAGACTACAAGACTACAAAACTACAAGACTACAAGACTACAAAACTACAAGACTACAAGACTACAAGACTACAAGACACAAGCCCTACAAACTACAAGACTACAAGACTACAAGACTACAAGACTACAAGACTACAAAACTACAAGACTACAAGCCCTACAAGACTACAAGACTACAAAACTACAAGACTACAAGACTACAAGACTACAAGACTACAAGACTACAAGACTACAAGACTACAAGACTACAAAACTACAAGACTACAAGACTACAAGACTACAAGATTTATAAGATACAAGACTAAAAAACTACAAGACTACAAGATACAAGACTACAAGGCTACAAGATTTACAAGACTACAAGAGTAAAAGACTACAGACTACAAGACTACAAGACTACAAGACTACAAGACTACAAGACTACAAGACTACAAGACTACAAAACTACAAGACTACAAGACTACAAGACTACACCATGAAGTTTTACATGGTTCATCCACACCATGAAGTTTTACATGGTTAATCCACACCATGAAGTTTTACATGGTTCATCCACCACAAACTTCAATATAAACATAAATTAATAAATAGTACCACGAATAATAATGACTTAATAAAAAAATAGGTGGAATTTACACTATGAAAAATAAGATTTACGTAGCCTTTTTTTTTTTTTACTGAAACTGCCTGATTATATTCTTGATTATATTCTTGATTATGTTCTTGATTATGTTCTTGATTATGTTCTTGATTATGTTCTTGATTATGTTCTTGATTATGTTCTTGATTATGTTCTAGATTATGTTCTTGATTATGTTATTGATTATGTTCTTGATTATGTTCTTGATTATGTTCTTGATTAGTTCTTGATTATTTATTGATTATGTTCTTTGATTATGTTCTTGATTATGTTCTTGATTATGTTCTTGATTATTGTTCTTGATTATGTTCTTGATTATGTTATTGTTTATGTTCTTGATTTGTTCTTGATTATGTTCTTGATTATGTTTCTTGATTATGTTCTTGATTATGTTCTTGATTATGTTCTTGATTATGTTCTTGATTATGTTCTTGATTATGTTCTTGATTATGTTATTGATTATGTTCTTGATTATGTTCTTGATTATGTTCTTGATTATGTTCTTGATTATGTTCTTGATTATGTTCTTGATTATGTTCTTGATTATGTTCTTGATTATGTTCTTGATTATGTTCTTGATTATATTCTTGATTATGTTCTTGATTATATTCTTGATTATGTTCTTGATTATATTCTTGATTATGTTCTTGATTATATTCTTGATTATGTTCTTGATTAGGGTTCTTGATTATGTTCTTGATTATGTTCTTGATTATGTTCTTGATTATGTTCTTGATTATGTTCTTGATTATGTTCTTGTTTATGTTCTTGTTTTATGTTCTTTGATTATGTTCTTGATTATTTTCCCTTGATTATGTTCTTGATTATGTTCTTGATTATTTTTCTTGATTATGTTCTTGATTATGTTCTTGATTATGTCCTTGATTAGTTCTTGATTTTGTTCTTGATTATGTTTTTGATTATGTTCTTGATTATGTTTTGATTATGTTCTTGATTATGTTCTTGATTATGTTCTTGATTTTGTTCTTGATTATGTCCTTGATTATGTTCTTGATTATGTTCTTGATTATGTTCTTGATTATGTTCTTGATTATGTCCTTGATTATGTTCTTGATTATGTTCTTGATTATGTTGTTGATTATGTGTTGATTATGTTGTTGATTATGTTGTTGATTATGTTGTTTATTATGTCCTTGATTATGTTCTTGATTATTTTCTTGATTATGTTCTTGATTATGTTCTTGATTATGTTCTTGATTATGT